TGTGCTAAATAATGCATTCAAATGCAAAATTATGCATTCAAAATATTCTTTTCCATAAGCATCATATCCTCCTTCATTGTCAGAAAATTTTTTTTGCAAGTACTTAAAACAAAAAAAGTATTTGTCTTAATGTGAAATCTTAAATTTTTTGAAATGAAAAATGTTTTATTTCATCTTGTGATTTGTAATACATGATTTTTTTTAAAAAAATAATTATAATAATTAAATTCAATTGCTTAAAAATAAATTCTAAAATTTTATAAATTAAGTTTTAAATACATTAGGCCTGAAAAAAACTTTTTTCCTCCTGAATTTTTTTCTCGTTTGTAATTGAAATAAATAAAAACCAAATAAAAAACTTTTACAATTTTATGAAACATTTAATTTTTTTTTCAATAGATAAATGTTTCAATTTCATATAAAACAATATATACTTGAAATGAAATTTTGTTTAATTAAAAGGAGCAAAAATATGAAGAATTTTTTAAAAATCTTTTTAAATAAATGTATTGCTATTATTTCGTTAAAATTCGTTTTGATTTTAAAGCAGTATTTTGCATCCTTTTAGTATTTACTAACGGTTTTTCAATAACAAGTCACGTAATGTTCTCCCCCCTCCTCATACAATAATTTTCATTGAAATCGTGCTGGGATCGATATTAGAATTCAATTTAGTTTCATTGTACTTTAACTCTAGAGCTACGCTTAAGACATGAAAACAACCCTTTAAAATTTACTTTTTGCTGAAATCTATAGTAAGGAATGCAAGAATACAAAAAAAAAATTAATTTTTGCAATAAAAAAATCTGATACTCAAATCCTATGAAATTTCCTTCATTTTTTGAGAAACCTTTTCCGGACATATGCTCCGAGCAAACCTTTCGTCAAAGTGACAAAATAACAATCGTCACTTCTTCAAGGAAACGAATTTCGTAAGAATTCAAGAAATCTTTCGTCATTCTACTTTATTCAAGAAAAAAAAAACTCGGCCTGCTTCAGGTATCTAACTTTTCAAATAATCACTTTTCCATTGGCACCACATTGTTGGATCTATGTCACCCGAGGAACATAAAAAAGACTGATAGAACAGCGAAATAAATTATACCCAGGCTCGAGCCAGGATCCGAATCCGGGATCTTCCTGGTACGAGGCAAACTCCTTATTCACAACACAAGTCGCTCGATTTATCGTCATTTTATTATAATCGTCAAGTCTTCACTTTATTTTCACATTCTAGTTAACTATCTCCCACAAAACACTACGAAAAAATTCCGTAATTAAGAAATATTTCCGTCGTGTATTTGAGAGTTCGTGTTTCGTCACAAATCGCGTGATTTCGTGACTAAATTATTCTCAAAATTAATAAAATACAGCTCTAAGATTGCTGAATCATCAAATGTGAAAGTTTTATTTCTGAGAATGTATCCGAAATCTAATAAAAACAACTAAACCCAACAACACATAAAGCAATACTTGTTTCAATTCCACTATATTATCTATTCATTCTACAGTACAGAGATTCCCGTCAAAAAAAAAAACACAAATTTAAAATTCGAATAAAAAGCACTGTTTCTTTCAAAAATATCTGATAGATAAAATATAGACCTCCCAATTAATTAGAAATCCTATTATAACGTTAGTTTTTTAATATATCATTGTTATAAAAAAACATTAAACCTTCAATAATTATTCACCTCAATTTATATTTTTAGATTTGCATTTACAGGTCATATATTATTACTAAAAAAAATAGCTTAGAAAATCATTTAATTAAAAAAAAAAATATTTTGACATAAAGTGCAACAGCATGCAATCTCCTTTGTTTCGATTCTCTAATCCTTATTCATGAATCTCAAAATATTGTTGAAATAATAAGCATCATATTTAATACGATTCACAATAGTTCGTGGAAGTTATTTTACCAATTTGAAATATATTGACAATAAAATATTTGTCAATGCATTATTCAAAGATTTTAAAAGAATAAATGAATTTTGAGAATGAATTTTATGAAATATTTTACCGCGTTTTGAAAAGTTTATGAACTCATTTAAGAAAAAAACCTTAAAATTTTAATCGTATTTATATTTCATATAATTGAGTACCTCTACACCTACTCTACACTTAAATGTCATATTTTATGAAATAGTAATATTTCTGTCATAATTCTATTTATTCAGTCTCGTATAATGTCTTCATTTATTGACTATAAAAGAAGATTTAGAAATTTCAATGACGTTAGTGATATCTGAAACAAGTATATGATATTTGAATTTACGAGTAATAATAGGAAATTATCCATAACTCTTTAAGTTTTTTATAATATTTTATATTTGTACTCATTATTCCACATTTTATATTTCGTTGCTTTACTTTTAATAACATCAGAAGCAAAAGGTTTACCTTGAACTGTGAAAATTCCGGATCAAAATACGGTAAAAAGTACCGGCACTCAGGGTACCGTTATTTTTTACCATAAAATTCATTTTTACCGGAAAGTGGTACGAAAAAAATCTCATACACCGTAATTTTTACAGTAATAATTACCGTAAAATCACTGAATCATTTTATTTAAATAAATATCATAAGTGATATTTATTTAGATTGATTCAGCGATTTTACGGTAATTATTACTGCAAAAATATTACTATTTTATAAAATTTTAATAAAATTTTTCATAGGTTTCTCCTTATTTTACTGCTTCTTTTACCGCTAATTCGATATCTTTTTGAATGTCTTCAGAATTAGTCTCGTTCGTAAAATTTTATTTCATTTATTTACATGTATACATATACAAGAATAGTTAGCAATTATATAGTTATTTCCTAAGTTTCTGAAGAAACACCTTAACTTTATTTTTTTTTTCAAAACACAAATGCAGAAACAAAGCCCCTTTCTCAAAAATTGCCTCCGACTGGGTGGAAAAATCATGCCTTCAAAAAGTTGCCTTCAAAAATCGTGCCTTCAAAAGTCATGCCTTCAAAAATCATGCCTTCAAAAGAAATAAAAATAATTTTAAAATATGACTGTATTTTTAGGTTTTTTTCAAAGTAAGGAAAGTAAGAAATAAAAATGAAAAGTGCGTAAAAATATTACACAAATTAGAGGGAAAATTAATATGTAAACTTACTAAAAAAGATAAATTATTATCAATATTACAAAAATATATATATTTTTCGGAAAAAATGCTGTTTACACTTGCATAGGTGAAAAAGTTTCTTAATAAATATGTGCTAAAAGAAATGCAAAAACTTGGGGGTCATGTATCCTTTCATTCAAATTCTTTGAATGAAAGGATCTCAATGTGAACAATCAATCTTCGAAACAAATCTTCCTCAATGTGCCGTAACATCAACAAAATTAAAATTTAAAAAAAAAAAAAAATAGAAGATTGAATAATTTTTTTTAACTTTTGACTCGTCTAAGTTATTTTTGATGAAATTTTCTTGCGAAACTAAGAATGAAATAGGTTTATCAACTGGAATAAAAGCATTATTTTTTTTTCTTTTTTACAATTCATCAAATTGCATATTATTATTATACTAAGACATGAATGTAATTAATGTAGTGAATGTAATTAAAGCCGCCTTAGATAGGTACAGTGAGCAAAAAGAAAAGTGAACACTGTAATAATTTTTGATTTAATGATTGGAAGGTCACGTGCTAGCTCAATGTTAATTCAAGGGCCTAACCTTAAATATGTTACTGAAGACGATATTTTAAGTCATGGAGAAAAAAACACAAAAAACGCACTTTCTCTGAATAAATATACATTTTTTTAATGGATTTGGATTCTTAATTCTCAAAATAAGGGTGAGAGGGGTAATCACGATTTTGAAAATATGTTTTTATTTCTCGAGAACTACTCGAAAGTTTCCTTTCAAATTTTAGGTTTTCTTATTTAAAATTACACATATTAAATCATTATAAAAAATGCTTTGCCTTATAATTCAAAATCATTCTACCATTAATAAATTTATAATAGTAAAAAATAATAAAAAACTACTAAAATATTTTCCTTACATGGAATCTTTACATGAATTGAACCTTATTATTCTTGTATGGAATCTTATTATTATGTCTTATCATCGAACCAGTTTTACAAATAGGGGCAAAAATTTATTAATTCGCTTCATTGGCTCCGGAGGCATCGCGAAATATGCAAAAATGGAAATTAACATTAAGTGGCCCAAGGATTTGACTACTCTCCTGTCTAAACTATCGATACCATTTTTTCTAGCCTGCGACTTGCCCCTACCCCTACCCTCTACGCTCTATAATTTGAAGGTCAAGAATACTACGTCGAAATAGATGTATGTTTATTCAGGGAAAGTATGTTTTTAAGTCTGATTTCGTAACTTTAAATATTGTTTATACTAGTTATTCAACATATTTACGATTAAGCATTCAAACCATTATGATTACGAGAAAATCCGATTATTAAATCAAAAATTATAAAGGTATTTTCTCATTCTGTTTTGCGCATGGTACATTAAACTTTCTTTCGCAGGCCTGGGATTTTATGATCTAAATATTTCTGAAAAAAAAAGGTTTAACAAGGTTACAAGAAATAATGAGAATTACAATTCTAAAGACGAAAATATTCCAAATAAATTTCATGGAAAAAAATTGACGCAATTAAAAAAATTATTTCCTAAATGAAAAAAATCAAATCACCGAAAAAAAATCTTTTTCATGATTTACTTTACATTGTTTTAAAATGTGAGAAAAAATGCTCTAAAATGACAAAATGACCTTAAACCTCAGAAAAATACAAAAAGAGTTCATAAGAGGAAAAAATGCAAACGTCATCAATTCCTGTCCTACGTTATAAACTATATCGTAATTAAACTTTCTCCTAACATCATTCCATGATTAAGGAAAGGCCAGAATTATCTTTGGCATTATTTTAACTATATTTTTTGTATTTTTATTTGAATCAATTATATTATTTGTGTATTTTTAATTTAAAATCTTAGTTATAAATTTTATTTTTTTAGTTTCCCTGTTATCGTCAGAGGAGAAGCTTAATGGTTCTCTTTTTTTGTGATCAGGTAGATAAATGCGTTTTACTATATCTATGTCTATGTCTACTATCCGTTTTACTATATCTTTCTATAAAATCTATGTATATTTACTATCAGTCTTGTGAATAATAAAAACTAAATTTAAATTTTTTACATATTATCTATAATATAAAATTTAATAACGAAAATTGTGTGGCAAAAATAAAATTTAATAATAGCAACAGATCAGATTTCTCAAGCGTGTAGGTCTACATACAATTGATAACTTTTGAACTATTAATTTCTTCGACTTGATTTTGGTTTCATTCGATTCAGCATAATTGAAATTTCAATTTTCAGTCTGTATCCCAAAACACAATAAATTGCTTTCTTTACGACTTCTCATTTGTACGTATTCACTAAAATATATGCTTTGATTGCTTAACATTGGCACAAGTTGATTTTGCCAGCCAAAATATAAGAAAAAGTTCTCATTTTGTGAAGTTTTGAATGACTTTCGCTCAAAACTTCAACCATAAGTATTCATATTCTACTAGTAAATGCAGAAATAATAAAATACAAAATACTTTCCAATGCCGTGGTTCACCTTCGGCACGAAAAAGTACTGTACAATGTAAATTGATGCGTTTTTCTCAAAATATTAGATGATCTTCAGTTCCAACCCCCAAAAATTAAGAGAAAAACATTTTGTTTTTGTTTTTTGCAAAAATTAACAAACAAGCATTCATAGTTTTATATACTTTGAAAATGTTAACAATACCTTAAAAATTTTAACAAAATCGTAAATGTCATCTATCCAAGCCTACCTCATTCTTAAAAAACTAGCTTATACCAAACTTCTCTGCTTGATCTTACCCTTCGAAACTTCAATTGAAAACTAAAAATCCTGCTCTTGTTCGTTATAATTTAAGTATTTAGTTCCTATTACTTTTCAAATTACAATATTCATTTTTATGTTTTATTTTGTCTTGTTTTTCTCTATAAATACTTATTGTACAAAATGTTCCGTGATGTTTCTGTCCTTAATATATATCTTTAGAATTCTTGTAAAAAATTTAAATAATGCTCTTTAAGTAATAGCTAATTAATATTTAAAAGATAAAAAGACAAATCATTTCCAAGCACCCATCCAATCTAAATTGAGGTAGTACGATCAGCTTAATCATAAAAAAAACTTAGTTTAGATTATTTTTAACCCAACATTACCTTCAATAGAGATTTCACAGAGTTTTTTTTTTCTTATTGAAATATAAATTTGTGTCTTCCTAATGTACAAAATTTTTTAACATCTTTAGCGAGGGTTTTTACAAGAATTTTAAAACTATACTTTGAAGAATGTTATATAATTGTCTGTATGTATTTAGCAATTAATTCATTAATTATAATAAATTATTTTTTTTAATTTCCAGGAAAAGGGAGGGTATCAAAAATTTCTTCAAAATGGCCTCCGAGAAAGAAGATTCAGGTCCTCATTGTCTGCTGCTGATATCGAATTACTGAATGCTCTAAGGAAACGTCAAATTCGATACCATCCTTGTTACTTTAATCCTGTATCTTGTTTTAAACGAAAATGAAACTGAACTCCAAATTTAAATTATAATTACTAGTCATGGTTGCTCGTTTTTTTTCGTTTTTGGAAATGAATAAATTTATATCTCATTGATGGAACTTTTTTACTTTAAGCCCATTTTGTAATGACCACGTATCTTAAAGTGGTAATTTATCATGTGTATGTATATATGTATTGATCACTTCATCAAGAAAATTTGTTATTTTAACTCATTATGAGATAGGAATAAGTATTAGATAAAACATTGTTGTTTAAAATTAGTCATTTTATTTATTGCTCATTAAAAACGCACCCAAAATTAAATGGGGGTGTTAATGTGTGTAATTTTTCGTTGAATGAATGGTGTGATGAATATTAAAAAAATTAAGAAAAATAATAACTGAGTAGTACTGTTTCGTTTTTATCCAATCCATATCTCAATTCGAACATAACCTGTAGAAGGATCAATTTTAACATTCTTTTAACAATGAAATAAAGAAACTCGCTCTGTTATAACAAATACAAATTCACTGTTTTTCTCTGAATAATTGTTTTAATTTTATTCTATAAAGAATAAAAATCACGGTAAATGAAAGACTGAAGGTCTTTATGAATGAGATAAGACACGTGATAATATGGAGTAATGTTTGAAGCTTCAGTAGGTGCTTAGATGCATACATAAAATCCTTACCGATGATACAAACATCCACATGTCACATTGTAAAAACAATTTTATGCTCCAGGTTCCACATAAATGACGAAGTCATGAGATAGTAATATGCGAACATACAGGTAGTGGTAGCAGCACGTATAAGAGATTATTCTTATTGCATAAGAATGAGAGCCTGATAGGCGAATTTTTTTGCAGAATCACACCACTCAGTTCTCATTCGTACGCGTAGTGAGAATGGCCTCTAAGGTGCATAAATTTGAGTATTAAGATATGTAAAAGGCATTGCTTTATCAGGGCTTTTATTTGTAATTTAATGAGTAATATGTTAGGCAACATATGTTATGTGTATGTTATGTTATGTCACATGTGTTACGTAATGATGTCCGTATGTCGGAAATTAAGACTTTGAATTTAATGGTAATTGGTGCCGCATCTCAGAAATTGTTACGAAATCCAATATTCTTCATCACAGTTAAAAGAAGTATCGAGAATATTTACTTTTAGGCGTAAGTGTATAGAGGATATTTACTTTTCAGGCATAAAAGTTACGAGAATATTTACTTTCAGACATAACTTGCCATTCTACTTAATGTCTTTGATGATGACATGTGCTTTATTGATCAAGATCAGCGACGAGAACGTAGAATTGGGAATGTTAACGTAAAAACAACAGCGTATAAAAAATTGAAAACAATCAATAACAACAACAAACTTCACCCACCCGGCATTGGATTTGGATTTAGTTAGCTATGCCAACTGAAGATCGACTTGAGTGCTTTTACTTATACGTTACAAAGTTATGGAGTCTAGTTGACAACAAGCTGGTGATAAATCTCTGTTCGTGGAATGTTTCTTAAGGCAGGGACTTGTCCTTCACATGAAAGTAGACCAATTAGTAAATAAATATGAACATCTTAAGCTTCTTAGATATCACATCCAGTTTATGGCGGATTTTATGCATCCTAACAACATTTGAATTTTTAAGGATGCCATTGCGGATCCCCCCGGTCCCAACGTTTTTGCGATTAACTTTTCTAGATAGTTCCAGTCACCAGTCCTTTAGATATGAAACTGATCAAAAATATTCAGGACATAATAAGAAAATTTTTTCATACAAAAATCTAGCAATCTCAAAGCTTTCTCAATTATGACCTGTTGCTTTAATGTTTCTACCGGCGTAGCATTCGAGATCTTGCGGAATGTATGTCATATTGCGTTTCTGCACCTAGTCGCTGAAGAGGTGGAGCGTCACACAATATTAACAAAAAATCCGTGTCTCTTGACCCATCAGTTTAAAAGAAAAAAAACATTTTTCAAAAAAGAAATATTTTCGCTTTTTTTTTTTTTTTTTTTTTTTTTTTTTTTTTTTTGCTGAAACTAGATCATAGTATTTCTAATCGATCTCCTTATTACATTTATAATCTATAAATTAAAAATAAAAAAAAATTATTGCATCTTCCAATTTTCAAAAACAAGAATATTGTGGATTTAATTTAAAAAACATAAATACAAATTTGATTAAATACTCCATTTTTCCGAAACGCAAATTTTCATAAGAAAAAAAAACAAAAAAAGGCATATCATGCCCAAAAAGAATTTTATTCTCATTTCTGAAAGAAGCATCGTAAGATCTTGGATGGAAAGCATTGAGTATTAAAAAAAATTTAAAGAAACAGAATATTTAAAAAGTTTTGTTACATGAATAATTTATGAGTATAATTTGCCTTTTATAAACATATATTTATATTTGTGAATCTATTTCAAAGGAAATCTAAAGTGTTTGGAAGAATCTTCATTCGTAAGCACTTTTTGTGAAACATTGTAGAAACTGAAGGTTTTATTTCTCAAACATTTATAATAAAACATATAAAAATATATGATACTTTCATCTCTTGAATATAGCCATAACAAATGACCAGCATTCTTATAAAGTATGTAGAAAATCAATTTGATAGCTGCAATCATATGGCACCGCTTTTCTCACTTTACGAGCTGCTTTAAGGGTTTCGGATGAATTGATGGCCAATGGTAATGATTAATATAAAGCAACGTTTCAAAATCGATAAATATTTATTCTGGCATCTTTATACGTTATAAATAATGCATATGAAGAAAATACATATAGAATGTATAAGTCAATAAAATATCGACTTTGAAATTTCTTTTTTCAATACGAAAAAAGCTATACATATATTTTATATAATATTACATATAACAAATTCTACTAGAAAACTTCGGTTGTTTATACACTTACGTCGTATAAACAAAAAATTTGAAAGAGGTTGGATACATTGAAAAGGAAAAAAATAAGTATTTAATATTTTTGAAATATCTATGACTTAACAAGCAATAAGAATAAAATACAAGTATAATAAGAATTGAAACATATTAGCTATTAAAAAAAAAACATTTCGTAAAAAAAAGAAAAAACGCAGTCGGTTTATCAAAAAAAAAATCCGTGTCATAACACTAATAACATTTGAAGCCAAAGATTGCACAAGCACAGATCAAAGTAACTGCTCTCACCAAAATCTGATGCTTAAACTAATAACAGCCTCTCATGAGTGTTATCAATTAACTACTACATAAAAGAAGATCCTTTAACTGTTCTTGTTAGATTTAATTACAATTTTCAGACATTTTATTTCATTTATCAATTCTCAATTCGATCCAGCCATTTCGCGTAACAGTAAGTTCCAAACTTTCCCCAGAACCAGGCCTCACGATAAGTCCCACAGTAAGACACAGCTCGCAGAAGATCACCAAAGTCAAGCTTCATTTACAGCAGTGAGAGGGTGAGTAACCACTTTGATCAGACTGCGAAGGGACCGAGAGCGTGCGGAATGGGTCCTCGTTAAACTTTTATACCGAAAAGTGCTCGACATCACGCACTAGTCATCAGGCTACTAAAACGAAGGGATCCACCACAATTATTAGCGATGATCTCGGAGTGTTGTTGTTGTAGTTCATTTACGTTCCACTAGAGCTGCACAATAGGCTATTGGCGACGGTCTGGGAAGCATCCCTGAGGATGATCCGAAGACATGCCATCACAATTTTGATCCTCTGCAGAGGGGATGGCACCCCCGCTTCGGCAGCCCAACGACCTGCACGCGAAGTTGAGCACTTTACGGTAGCACAGTTTAACGAGGACCAATACCGCACACCCTCGGTTCTTACGCAGACTGATCCAAGTGGGCCACTCACCTGCACACTGACCGCAGCCAGTGATGCTTGATTTCGGTGATCTGCTGGGAACCGTGTCTTAACGATCAGTCTGCGAGACCGATGGTCTCGGAATGCTTACCAGACCATCGCTAATAGTCAATAGCACAGCTCTATTGCGACATAAATAAAGTATTACTAGCCCGATAAGTTATTTTTAATCCGATTAGCATTTATACTAAGTTTCTACTGTTCACATATATTTTTAATAAAAATTTTTTAATCTTCATAAAAGTGATTATCAAATTCGGGGGCATTTTTAAAACTAAAACTTCTCGAAATTAAATTGTCCATTTAAAGCAATTAACTTTTAGTTCTCTAAATAATACATACAATAAGCTCGCTCACAAAAATATCATTGATTTGCTCGGAATAAATTATGGTGAATTTCATATTCTTGTAAAATCAGATTCCAACTTTTCTGAACTGAATAGAAAACTCTGCTAAGCCATAATGGAAAGGCTAATTGATCTACTCTGTTACGTATTTTTAAAACATTTTTCTTTAATGTTAGATTAGAGCTTTTAGGATTTTTAAAAGGAATCATTTTTTTAAAAATTCTACTTCAATTCAAATCTTTGATCGTTAAATAAATGACTTTAATGCATATTTAATTTTTTTCTTACTTCTTCCGGATCATTGTGTCTTAAATTGATTTTCCTAGTATCAGAGGAGTCGGTACTTTTATTCTAGTGGACAATTGGAAAAGTTGTAAAAAATAATGAACTATCGTAACATTCAACTATCGAAAAATAACAACAAAAACGATGTCTTTGGCTTTTTAGATTTTAAAGTAGATTTTAAAGAAAACAAATTACTATCGATTGTCGAGTGTACTTTGCTGTTCTTTTCCCTTCTGATGAGAAAATAAGTGAAATTATATTCTTAACTAATACTAGCGGTGGAAATAGTAAGCATATTTTGAGAATACTTTTACCGACAGAGTAATTAAATAAATCAAAGTTTTAAAAAATACCTTTAACTTATACAGTAAACTGTTAAAAGATACAAAACAAACTGCGATACAAAACAAAATGATGGCTGTTTTTTTTTTTTTAATTTTTATTGAAAACTTTTTATATATTTATTTATTTATTTTGGAAAGGTATATGACCAAACCAGTGACACCCATGATTTTCAAGTGAGGATAAAAAAATGTATTTTTTTAAGATGTATAACAATGGTTGCAAAACTGCATAGGACTTTCCTTAACAATTTTTTTGCAAAAATGGCTCATTTTTTAAAAAATTGAAGTTCTCCAAAAATGGCCTAAGAACTATTTGTAGCAAAAGAAATGTAATAAAATAAAATAATCCAACACATTCCCGTTAAAAAATGTATTTTTAAATATGCTGTTTAAATTTAAAGTCTATGTCTAGAATGTAACCGGACTTTAGATTGCTTTTGGCATTTTTTAACTTTAAAATACTTCAGCAGCATTAAATCTTAATCAATTTTCTTAGCACTTGAAGAATCATTATCATATACAGGGGTTTTCGTTA